CTCGGTTTTCAGTATTTTTTAAGTTATGCTGTCCACATTGGCATAGGATTTTTTTCATTGATGATGATCTAAGGTCTTTGTATTTTAGCTGTAGACCCTTTAGCATGTAGAGAATAGGACTGAAGTGTAAATTATTCCATATAGTTGAATTTGATACTAGAAACCTCCATCACATGTTGTAAGCCTTAGGTCTGCTACATAGAATGATACTAACCAGATTTGGTTTTGTTTGTTTTAGAGGGAGACGGGGCTCATAAGTATTGTATTCTGATCTATCACTATTAAAATAAAACTTTATTCACCTTGATTATCTGCTGCATTTCTACCCATAATCCCTGCAAAAGATCTCCTAATTTGTAGCTACTCTTAGTAAAAATTCTTATTTTTGTTTGATTTCATATAAAAAGGTCTTCCAGTAATCTACACAGGCGAGAAACTTCCCCTTTGCACCTAAAAATGTTGTTCTCCCAATCCTCAGAATTAGACTTTGACTTGGGAAATCACACTTATTGTTTGTAGAGAAACAGGATTTCTATATGTGGTGCACCTGGGTGAAACATGGGCAAGTTAGAGACGATGAGCCACGTAAACAAACTGCCTCCATGGTTGATGTGATGCAATATTGTGGTTGCTTCCCTGTGCCAGCGGTCTGGGTTCTGAATGGGTTTCCTTGTTTCTCAACATGAACTCGAGATTTAAATTTTTCCAAGAGCGATATTAACAAGGCCTAACATGGAGGTTGGTTGCCTGGGTTGGCAAATGACCCATACTTCTTGACCCTGGAAAGGTGATAATCAGATTACAGTATCTGCATAGAATACGCTACAAACTCAACAGTACACGTGAGGGTTCCTAGAGTAAGTTGTGACGGGATTATCTAAAAACAACAACAACAACAACATTTATTTAAATCACCATGCACTTTTGGATATTACATCCTCAGTCGGACGTTGGGACATAGGGGTAAGGTTGGATCCTGATTAGGTGAATCTTTTATAGCTTCTTGGCAACGTTCTTCTTTTCTTTTCCTCCTACCTTCTCTTTCTCTTTAATTTGACCTAAGTGTACGTATGATTTGTGGGCCTGTCAATATTTCGCTTGCCCTGTATGGAACCAGACCAAGTCCGGCTAGCATCATTCTATGTCTCAGACCTAAGGCTTACAATGTGTGATGGAGGCTTTTAATATCAAATTCATCTATATGGAATAATTTCCATTTCAGGACTATTCTCTACATGCTAAAGGACCTGCAGTTAAAATACAAGGAGGAGGGGCGCCTGGGTGGCTCGGTCGGTTAAGCGTCCGACTTCGGCTCAGGTCATGATCTCATGGTCTGTGAGTTCGAGCCCCGCGTCGGGCTCTGTGCTGACAGCTCAGCGCCTGGGGCCTCTTTCGGATTCTGTGTCTCCCTCTCTCTCTGCCCCTCCCCCGTTCATGCTCTGTCTCTCTCTGTCTCAAAAATAAACAAACGTTAAAAAAAAAATTTAATAAAAAAAAAATAATAAAATACGAAGAGGAGCATGTAGGGCTTGCAGTGTGGCAGCAAATTGTTCTGTGGCAAGATGGCTTAGAGGTGCTCTGACCTTTCCCTCTTTCCTTTAACATAGAACCTAGCTATGTGTTTTCTGAAAAAGACAAATTTGAAGGTATGGGTGAACCTCCTTTACTCGTTCAAAAGATATTTATGAAACGCCTCCTATATTGTTATTATAATGTCGAAATTCAATCTAAGTTAGATTATCAGCTCTTCGGGAATAAGATCTGTATTTCAGTTGTCTCCTGAATCCTTGGGATCTGCACAGGATCCAAGACAAAGCACATGGTTCAATGCTTACTGAAAGGAAATCATGGAGGGGCAACTGGGAGCACCCGAAGTATAGCACTTGGTGGACGGGCTTCTACCCCCGCAGCGTATCCTAGAGCCACGACTCTGGACTTCTAGTCATGTTCCCTACAGCAACAAAAGGCATCCCGTGCCTAACGTTATCTCATGGGCTCGTGCGTGCACGTTAGCGTATGTAGGTTTATATGAGTTGCCATGAGGAAAGAGCCTAAGAACAGCATGCCCAGGTTGAAATCCTGCCTCTGCCATTTAATCGTCATGTGACTGGGGCAAGTTATTTGATCCCTGTGCCACAGTTACCTCCTCTGTCAAATGGGGATGCTAATAGTACTGATCTCCTAGCATTGCCAGGAGGGTTAAATGAGTTGCCCGTGTATAAAGCGCGACAGACCTGGCACAGGTACGTGTCAGCGTGGTCTGTAGTTGTTCCACGTGGTCGTAAAGTTTGTGAATTCTAAAGTGTGCCCAGTGCAGACGCTTCAAAAGAATGGGATAGCACTAGAAAGTCTAATATTTTGTTCCCATACTCCATTGGATTGTCTTGAGCGCTCCATTTTGGACGTCACTGGCCTGGAGTATCAGTCCTGGTGAAGCCAAGTAAATTATTCTTCCACCTGCCTCCTACCACGCCCCACCCCCACTTATTGTACGTCTCACCCTGGGATTAATAGGATTCAAGGTCGCTTCGTCTCTGTTTACATCCAGGTTCTTTTGTCTGTTAGCCGCACCCCCCCCCCCCCCCCCCCCATTTAAAGAATTGCATTTTAGCGCTTTTCTTTTTAAAATAGAGGCTGGGATGCTGAGGATGGCATAGGGTCAGGTGCTGGATGGAGGTGGAGGCAGGAGAGCTGTGCGGAGGCTGCTGACCCTCCTCTCCCCTCCATTCTAGGGAGCTCTCAGGGCTGGGCTGCCTCTCCAGCCAGAGCTTCCAGAAGGGCAGCCCCTTGCAAACTGCATGGAAGACTCCTTGTCCAATAGGGCCTGGGTTTCCCAGCTCCTCTGGCATTGTCTGGCATGTCCTTTTCTGATCCCTAGGCAGTCAGGGTGACAAGATACTGGGGGGAGGAGGGTGTCCCTCGAAAGCCACAGGGACGAAGGCAGGATCTAGGTTACAACTGCATCCAAGCCTGGTCCCAGATTCTGTTTCTTCCTTTTTAATAAATCATCTTGAGGCTTTGAAAGGAACTCCTTGTGGTATTTGCAGTAAGATTGTAATTTGGAAAAACTTAACCACCATGAAAATCCTCTCGATCGTGGTTTCTGGGCATTTATCTCTGTTAGGCACAGTGCCAAATGCATTTCATGTATTTATATCTCCTTCAACCCTCTCAGCCATCCAGTGAAGGAAGGGACTAACTGCTGTTGACAGTTTTTCAGATGAGCTTAAACAGAGCTAGGATTCAAACCGAGGCCCTCACCACAAAGTCTGTGCTCTTTACCACCAGACTCCGTGGCCGCCTCCTAAGCTGGCCTCCCTCCTGGCACTGTTGAGAATAAATATTTATGAAAGGACTTTGTGAGGTCCGGTGTCGTGTAAATGAGGTGGTGTTGTAGCATCGTGTAATCCCAGTGGCAATAAGAACTAATATTGAGTTCTCGCTCTGTGCCAAAGACTTGACACACGTCCTTTTGTTTTGGGGCTCAGAACCACCTGCAAGGTGGATGACCAGGAAACTGGGAATCAGGACAGTTGGGCTCCTTGCAGTGTGCAAAGCCCATAAATGGTGCAATGGGACTTAGACCCAGGTCTGCTCACTTCCAGAACTCTGGCCGTAACTTCACCCAGATATTATCACCTCCCTGGACCTTGAGGGACCTCAGAAGCCTACTAGAGATGAGGAGGCTGAAACACAAGGATTTTTCCTAAATCAGAAAACCAGCTGGTAAGAGAGCTGGAGCTAGACGTCAGTCCCCAGGGTTGATTTGGTTGATGGTAGGATTCAAAAATAAATAAATAAAAATTAAAACACACAATTCTGGGGCGCTTGGGTGGCTCAGGCGGTCAAACATCCGACTTAGGCTCAGGGTCGTGGTCTCGCGGTTCATGAGTTTGAGCCCCACGTCAGGCTGTGTGCTGGCAGCTCAGAGCCTGGAGCCTGCTTCGGAGTCTGTGTCTGCCTCTCTCTCTCTCTGCCCCTCCCCCACTTGTGCTCTGTCTCTCAAA